TTCTGGGTTTACAACAAGTTCAAGCTGTTGATTCCTGTTAGTGTCCTGCTGTGAAGTTGCTGACTCTATTTTCTTCTCTTAATTTGCTTCATTTCCAGGTACACTTTTGTCTCCAATTATCTGAAGTTTGACTCAATGTGTGTAAACAACTTTGAAATTAAATGATGAAGGATTGCTAGTCATCATATGAATCTGTCTCTATAGTCATTGCTAGTCTCGATATTTAGTTGTAACTTTCATTTGAGCAATTACTTATTAGTGTTAATTAGGACTATTTTTGTAATAATTAGGACTGTTTTGGGACTGTTCTGGACTATTTTGATATAAGTACATTAGATTTAGTCCATATATAGATGTTGTAGCATATGCTGGAATTATATTGATAGAGCTTCGCATATAGCTTAGGGCGAAGCCTCACCATGCTGTTTAAACGCACACGAAGAACCAGTATAGCTATGTATGTTCCAGGTATAAGGTGTAAAAAATGAGATTCAAAATCAACTCTTAAGCTTTGGAGACTAGATTGTGATTGGTTTTACATGTTTCGACAAGTTTTCCTTCATTCAATTGCTGTACGCATTGAGTTGGCAAAGTGATTTATTTCAGTTCTTCAAAAATAATCATCCACGGCTATAGTATAGAAATCAGGAAAAGAAACCAAAAATTCATAAGTTAAGCTCTGTTTTCAACTGGAATTGAATCAGAAATTAACAATGCCTATTTAGTTGAATGTGCGAGCCCGTTTAATTTGAATTGTGGGATTTAAGCAAGTTATAACTGGACTTTGCTCCCTTGGTCATACTGGGCTCAGACGTGAAGCCCAATTACAATCAGCTTCAGAGCTGGAGCATAAACTCCTCAATTCCAATTCACTCTCAACTTGGGCCCCTGAACAGGCCCACTATTTGATGGACTCTCATCCAAACTCTATTAAAATTCATTATTGTGAAAATGGTTTAGGGACCTTAATTCATAGTTTAACATAGCATAGATTTGGGCTTTCGAGTAAGGTGGTGGGTTCAAACTAAGAGGGTCCTCCCTTTTGTTTGAATTCGGACTTGAACTTGAGACTCGAATTTATAAATGCAAATTAATTAGGCCCTTTTAGAGACAAAATAAATAGAAAATCANTAAGGACCGAACTACAGATGGAGAGTAAACTAGTTAATTTAAGTATAGGTAAGTAATCACTTTTATAAAACTCTAATTTCATTCAATCAACATGTAACTCAGTTGGAGAGTAAATACAAGTAATGAAATAACTAGAGGCTAAAGAAAAACACAGTAATTATCTGTAATAAATTTATCCGATGTGGAAGAAGACCTATGTCAACATATAAATTCATTATATTACTGTAGAACCCGTTTAATTTAGGGTTTAGGGCCTAAAATCGCGTATTCTGCAATTTACGGTCTGAAGGTTGCATGTACTGCCGTGGTCCTACCGCGGTTACGCCAGGACCGCGGCTAGAGCGACCTTCAGAATCAGAGGTAGTGTTCTGCCGCGGTCCTACCGCGGTTACGCCCGGACCCAGGGGCGGATTCAGGGGGGGCGGAAGGGTGTCACCCGAACCCCCTTCGCCGAAAAATTACATGGTATATGTAAGGCAAAATCTATTTTTTACCTCTATATATTATGTTTTGAACCCCCTTAACATAGCCCAAAAGTATAGCTTAGTGGTCAAAGGGGTTCAAAACCTTTGTAAGGTCAATGGTTCCATTCCCACCAGCCACAACCTTCTGAACTTTTTCCTTTTTTTGAACCCCCTTGGCATTAAACCTGCCTCCGCCACTCCCCGGACCGCGGCCATACAATACGAGATTTCATAAAAAACTTGTTTTGACAGGATTAATCCAAAAGTTCTGTATTTTAATCCAAGATTACAGAATATTATACAAAACATTCACGTTTTTAACATAGAATAATTATCCGAAACATGTATCAATGAATAACACGTTTTAATATTACTCTATGCATGCTGTATTACATTATCTAGTTAGATGTAAGAAGGCGTCTGATACCAATTGTTAGAACATGCGCAGCGGAAGCAAGCATACAATCAGACATCAATTATATGTAAACTAGACAACGCAATAATAACGAGATCAGGAACACTAACATCTTGAAATAGTTGCACAAATTCTCCAAGCAGCAAGAATCCAGGGCTGTAGTCTTCTACTATATGCCTAGTAAAACTTTGAACACCTTTGCTTTTGGGTGGGCAAGAACAATACAACTCTAGGGTTCGTCAACTGGAGAAACCTGTCTCCTTTTTATACACGAAATTAAGCCCTAAAAATAGGCTAAAAAACGTGTGGAGTAGGATTCCATAAGTAGAATCCTACTCCAACTCAAAAAGGTAATTTTTCTCCCAAGCTACTTTTTACCCAAGTTTGTCCAGGTTATTACTAGGTATAGCAGGGACCGCAGAAATAATAAGAGGCTACCAATTATAGTACTAATTCGAAATTGGCATGAATTAGATCTTACTATAATTAATTGCAATTTATTCCACTAAAAAACTGCAATTGAACTACTCAATATGAATTTCGAAAATTCACTAACACTTATTTTAACTCCCCATGTTAAGATTTCAAATACCAGTTAATTAAATTAAATCACTAAAAATTTAATTCAATCAACTAATTAAATCCTTTATAATTCCGCTTAAACTATCTCATGTGACGGATACAAAATCCACCGGCCGGGTTTTCACATGAAAACTTATAAGCTTATATAAAGGGGTATTATCAAACCCAAAAATCAAGTCATGGATTCTATCAACTAATTATTATTCACAAATGTTATTTGTTATTGTCCAATTTATAGGCATATACTAACTCTAAATAGAGTCGTACCTTTTGATAAACCAAAACAATAAACAAATTACATTGATCATAATAATTATATCAAGATTAGGAGTATAAGCTCATTTAATGAATTAGAGAAAGTGTTTATATGTATTCAGTACAAAAACACCTTTCCTCTACTTGGTCCGTTCAATATACACTGAGTATACTAGCACAAGAAGTTGGAGTAGACTTACTCCCATAATCAAGACAAATTATACAATAATCTTGTGCTACAATCATCAAGATATTTTGTCCGATAATATCTTCGATTGTGAACATAGTTTATTAATTATGAGAACCAACAATTTAATCTTCTGTGTATGAGCTAAGACTCCATACACTAAATTGTCTACTACATAATCAAAAGGACACACATGTTACAAATGATCTATTTAAAATAGTGCTTTATTGAATTGAATAAATTAAATAAACAATTGTTTCATAAAGAACAAAATATAATACTATGTCTAAACCGCATGGTTAATAGTATATCCCAACAGTATAATCAACCAGTTCAACTTAATTAACAACATGAAAATGTGTGCGTGTGTGTGTGAAATTTCAAACCTATAATTGAAAAAGTGCATTGGGTCCAGCAATGAGAACATAAAAGTTAAATCTATCAAAATTTAAATCCTGATTTTTTGATCGGACTTTCTAAATCCATATGGTATGATATGCCTCTATTTGCACCAAGGCATCGGTGATCGGTTTAGAAGACGAATTCAGCACAATGACTTGGATGGGGAAGGAAGGGGGTGAACCAAAGAAGAAAGGAACTGTATTTAACTTATTTGAGGGTCAAATTACTATTCTGACTGAAAAAGCAGGCTTATTAATGTTCTTGGAATATCATTAAAAAATTTATGCCTTGTCTGGAGTTTCACATTCCATGATGTTATAAATCAGTGACATATCTCTATTCAAAAGGAGGAAAGAAGGAAAAAGCTTTGAAGAATTGAGAACATTAAAAAGGTGTCCAGCAGGATACCTATGAAAAAAAAATGAAAAGCAAGCATTTACTACTAGGTCAGATTTGAAATAAACGAGTAGTAAGTAAGTAAGAAGTCCAGTGTCCTGTTCTTCCAGTAGCTTTCTAAAAAGAGGCATATTTCTCTAGGATTCAATTCCTCCTCTTCATTCCTAATCACAGGATCTGCTAATTTAAAATACTATATGCTGATACTTAGAATATATGCCTTCTAGTTTGAGAACCTCCATTTCCTTGGGCAGTGTTTGGCGAAAAAATGGCCCTTCTCATTGAGATGGAGTAGAAAGGAGAATTCAGGATAGTTTATCATATATTAATATTGCATGATAACATGACATTGGGAGAATAGAGGTGATGAACGTTTTCTATGCTATCATATAGTATATGCCGTTTATTTAAAACATGACGTAAAAAGATTGATGTAAACTTTTAGCATGAACTAATTATACTGTGCTATCATATGATAATATATGATTGTGATGTACATGGAATCTGGAACTATTTTGTCTACAATTCCAAAGCCAACTATAATTAATTTGAAGTCTTGTTACAAGTCTTTGATTGTAAGATAGTGTACACTTGCGCGTGCTTAAATTATTATGTTGAAAAAGTCTAATAAGTATTTACAGGTAATGTATGATTGTCATCAACGATATCACATCACTGCATAGCATGGGAACAAAAAGATACACGTTAAATGAGGAACTTTGCGCTTTATCCTGCTCTTGAAAAGATCACAAATTTAATTTAATTAGACATTTCTTCTTAGTTCTTACTGTAGAGCCTTTTATAAGTAAAGTTAATTGTGAATAGCGAAGGCTGTGCTTGGGGCCATCAACAGTGGCATAATTATCTTTAGTAACACAGTGTGCTGTTCAAACTTGCTAAAAGAATTGAATAATAATGATCTATGACGTATATTTAGTATTTAACAATCCATTAAGTCCCTAACGAGAAGCAACTAAAATAGACTCATTCAACCTAGACCAAGACAAAGTTAGTGATGTCTTAATAGCTAGAGACATGTTCAATCTAGCTAGAGTGCTAGACCAAACCAACTTATCCAAATGGCGTTACAAGGCCTACGTATTATTTATGTATAAAATAAATTTGACCTTCTCATGGCCAAAGAATAACTGTATAAGCCTAAAAGGGATAACCAATTAAAGTCCCTGCATACTAGTTTTTAATTTCGTACATATGAACAATGGATTTCGCACAATTTTATTCAACAGTTACACATCCCACGAATACAAAAACACCCCCTTCCGCAAAGATAAAGGAAACTTAATCCCCATTTATTTGAACAACTTATTATTTCGAGGATTGAATAGTAATTCCGTGATACTATTATTTTACATCTTACGGTGTAAGGTTCAATCCTCGTCCCCTTTATTCGAGCCTCTCCGCCTTGTGAGGAAAATAAAAAAGAAGAATTAACTTAATTAGCCGTTCGCCAAAATGACAAAATAGAATACTACTATTCAATTAAATCTGCCGCAGTCGAAACGAATATTTCCATTCCTCCCAGTTTTCACACCAACACGGCCCAGCTTTGTCATTGCAGCGACGAATGCGTTTTGGAATGCTTTTGAGTTACTAGCCCAAATGTCGACAGTTCCCTTGGACCGCCCGTCTGTATAAAGCACTTGATCAGATGTGAATAGGCCCATACCTTGCTGTAAATTTTTGAAGTAGGCATTGTCAAAAGTCCTGGGAGTTTTGGGATCCATGTTTATGGCTATCCTTGGGTCAACATTCCTCGGACACATCCCTTGTAATTGAGCTGCATATTGCTTGTTGAGTGTTGGGTCTATTGGATTCTTAGGGCTGAAGTTGTAAATCCGGTTGGCAAACTTGCTACAGTGTGAAAATCCAACAGAATGGGCCGCTGCAAGTGAAATGTATAAGAATGAGAGCAAACATCATATAAAATTAATATCCTATTATGTAAGATTCTCATAATAGGAACTTTTCTTTCTTTTTATCTACTGAGCTGGCTGAAGAATAATGAAGTAGCTTAGATTATTTAGTAAGTCAAACAATAAGGTGCGCAGTTAATATTAATATCAGGGAAGTAATATTTCGTACCAGAAAGGGCGATCATGTCACTCTGATTTAGACCATGAGAAGCAAACATAGAATTGAGTTGATTCAAATTAAATGTTGGTTTTGGCAGCTTTCCTTCCACGTTCGAAGCTTTTGATGTGAACCCATCTAGCCTTCCTAATTCCACTGGGTACCATGGTCCCCCCGACTACAAGCGTTTTATAAAACGACTTTACTACTTTTTATATATACTTAAAAAATAACTGTAGATAATTGTTCATACATACCAGCTGAATGACGTCTCTAGTGGCTAAGGCGAGAATATCTGCACAAGAGACTTTATTTTTACAACGTGAGTTTGAATCAATGGCCGCTTTGGCTTTGATCACAGTATCAAATCCATCTCCTGCCAATGATAGATTATCTGGGTGATCCTTCTCAGCTGTGTTTCCTGGTGTAGATGATACTATCACTGAAGCATCACAACCCTGTTTCAGAAAAAAAGAAAAATTTGAAACTTAAGGTCCTTTAATTTATTTATATTGAAATTTAATATATACCTCGACAAAGCAATCATGAAAGAAGAGACGGAGAACAGCAGGGATTGTGACAAATGTTTGTTGGAATTTCTGGTTAACCACATTTCTAACAATGGATTCAACATTAGGACAGGTATTGGCGTAATAATTGGTTTTCAGTTGTGCAGAAGCCAAGTTTGGCATGAACAAAACACCAACGGAATATATTGACAACACTACTGCCATAAGAAGATTTAGACGACCCATTTTCTTAGCTATAGAATTGAATCTCAATTATGTTAGGAGAAACTAAAGGGGAAAATGGGTTTTGCAAATGTTTAATTGAAAGAAAAGCATTATATAATAGGGGGCATGAGGAAATTGCCATTGAAGCCAGTTGGCCAAAGAATCTTTCTTACTTAACAAAAGAAGTTGAACATGAAAATTAGAAAGTCCTATTTTTTGGAAAGAGACAGGATATGCTGGCATGTTTTATCTACTATATATTGGCCGCCATGAGATATGCTATATAATTTGTTGTAATTTTATATTTGTCATACTACTCTCATAGCGCGCTATCTCCTCGTCGTCTAATCAAGTTATGACCTGAAGATGAATATTAATCCACAACGTAAACGAAATACTATACCTAGAGATGATTAATGCAGAAGATAGAATAAAAGAGACTAGTGAATGAAAAAAGTTATAAGGCTGCTAGTCACATAGAGACAGCTGGAAACTAGGACAAGAAATTAAAGTTGTGTGCATTTCCAAACAAATCTCTGTGGGCTGCTAATCTTCAAATCAACCCTACAAAAGAAAATATGGGGCAATGATGTGTGCATAGCTTATAACTTCGATCGAAGTCATAATCTTTATGAAATTGAATAATTGACAGAAAAATTAGCCGTGCTAATTAAAGGAGTAGAACAGACAAGTGATTAATACAATGTTGCTATCACAAGAAAGAATTCTGTAAACCTTATGGAAACTAAAAAATAAGAGTTAAAATGTTACGGGAGTTAATTGCAAATTTCCTAGAAAATATGTAGTATGAGCTGTTAGAGCTGATCTATTTTCGCTTTAAAAGAAAAAAAAAGGTAACCATACTGCAAAACAAATAAAAGATTCCAATATTGATTCTTTATCATGTGGTTTGCAAGGTTTCGCATATGGCAGGCATGCACACCAACCACAATTTTTTTTTTTAAAATAAACAATAAAAAGATGCCTTTAGGACTTTGTCTAGAAAGATCCCAGTGTACTGATTTAACATATATATACTCGTAGAAATTTGTTTTGTGGCTCAAACCTATAATAAATTGCTCGCAACTATGGCGAGATGTTAAGTCAAAAGTACCTAACCTCAGATCTGAAAACTATGTATCTTTCTATTATTTTAAGATATATGCTAGTTTTGTTCAATTGTGAACTAAACTAGTCCTTCACGAATCCTGACAGACATGCATGATTGTAACATCATGTGGACGTCAAATAATCAAATCTGCATTGTACAGTATATCTACATATTATCTTTGTTAATCAGTACAATATATATTTTGTTCAGGAACGTTAACCAAATAGTAATTTTCACTAAATAAATTATACACAGCAGGGGATTGGATAAGCTTTATTAGTGTATCCCTTCATCATCATATATCCTGCTTACAACCATATATATGCTTAGAACTAAACCAAATTGCCCTATATAGAAAGATATCCATGTATTGACAGCTCCTTAATTGAAGTGTAATAGAACATAAAATCTTTGCTAAATTCGTAGAAGGATTATTTAAGACCTATCATCAATTTAAGCATTCCAGATAATAATCATGAAAAGGGCAGCATCTCATACACCATTTGACAAGGGAAAAGGGTACGAAAATTTACAAATGGTATATCATATAGAAGCTCTCTTGGAACAAAAATAGGCAAAATGGCCTTTGGGCCACTTATACTTTGTACCCGTTTGTCAAACCGATAAATAAACTTACAAAATTTCCGTTTGAACACTTGTACTTGACGGAATAAGTACCAATAAACACCTCCAGCTGAACGTGTTCCTCAATAGCTATGACCTGACTGACACCATATTCTTAACATATTATTGTTTGACATGTGTAATATGTAGGTCCCAATCACTTTTTACCAATTTATTAAAAGAATTAAAAAAAAATCCTTTCTCTTTTTCTTCTTCTACACCATGGAAGTACCCGTTTTCATCCACCATGAACACCACCCTCATCCCCTCCAAAATCCCCCAAATCAATAATAAACACCATCCTTCTCCACTCTGAAACTCCCAACTCAATAAAAAAGGTAACAAAAATGCGAACAAAATCAGTAAAACACAAAAATTCGAACGAATCAGTAAAGAACTCTCTTCCCTTATCTTCTCCAAAATTATCTTTGAAAATCCCCAATTCTACTTCTACTTCATCTTTTTACGTTTTCTGAACAGAAATTTTAGAGAAACATTCAAAATCATCTCTAACATTTTCAATCTTCAACAGCCAATTAATTGATTTTCTTAAAATTGAAAGTTTGTTCTTTGTTTTTTTTCTAGCCAGCAGTTTCCTTTTCCTCTTTGAATTATGGTCATGATAGATTTGTTAAAAGGGGGAAGGGGAGGGGGTGGGGGGGGAGGGGGAAAGGGAAAGTAGGAGGAGAGACGAGAAAAGAAAGGAGGAGGGGAAGGGAAACGGGGCAACACAAGATGAAAGGGTGAAGGAAGAAAGAGGGGAAGGGAGGGAGCGGGGTGAGTGAGTTTTCAGCTTTTGCAATTTTTTTCTTAATTTATTTGCTTTCTTTTTTCATTTTAGTATCTTTTTAAATCTGTCACACCACTTTTTTTTCGAGGAATAGGAGTTTTTCCAATTAAAGTGACATCAATCGAAATGGAATTAATTATGTAATTTAGAGTCGCCACTGGAAATAATTATTATGGTGTCCCAAGTCACCAGTTCATTTTAAAATCTCAAATCGAGGAATTCGATTCTATTTATGGTCTGCGAACACAGAAGACCAGTCAAGGAATTCTATTAACCCGGGAGAAGCTGTGAGGCATTCCCGAGTTCCGTGGTTTCAGTACGATCGCTTAACAATTAATATTTGGCTTGATTATCTTAATTATTACATGTTTAAAACCTTTATGCGTTTCTGTCTTTTACCGCTTTTAATTATCAAATTTGGCCATTTTAAGTATTTATGGATTTTATTTGAACAAGTTACCATGTCGTACACTTGTCGTTTTGTACACATTGCAAGTCACTGATAACTAGGGGTTCTAGCCTATTTTATGCTCCTTTTTGCTTAGGTTTTGGATTAAAAGTGTGTACAAGTATTCCCGAAAGCTAACTTATTGTGCTCGTTTGCATTATTTGGTCAAAAAGAGACAAGAAAGTCAAAACCAGCTCATAAAGGAGTCAAACCTGCACAAGTTCAACGCTGAGTCAAAAGAGCGCTGACAGCGGAAAAACAGACGCGGACGCGGAGGGTCCACCGCTAAGGCGGTCTTGATTACGCTCTCAGCGGTGGCAAGGTTCACAGAGTACTTTTTGGGCTTGCAAGTTACCGCTACCCGCGGTGAAATTGCGCGGCAGCGGTGTCTCTGACACGGCCGCGGTCAAGTTATCACCCTCAGCGGAGGTGAGAATCAGAGAACTCAGTTTGGAGCTCAAATTGAAGACCGCGGTCCGCGCTCATATTTCACGGCCGCGGTTGGAGGAGCGCTAAGGCGGTAGTTTTTTCGCTCCCAGCGGACTCAAGTTCATAACCAGCTAAAAGAGAAGAACCACGGTCCGCGCATGCTTTTGCGCGGCCGCGGCAGTCCAAGCACTGAGGCGGTCCATTTTTCGCTGTCAGCGGAACCCTCGTAGGGGCAATTTTGTCCGAAAAATTAGCTATGTATAAATAGTTCTTTTTTAGATTTTTAGGTCATCTGTTGTGAGAGGAACACGTGAACAACAACTTTTTGTTATTTTGAGTAATTTTAGAGCTTGGTTAATCATTAATCTTAGATCTTCTCTTGTAATTACTTTTTATGGATTATATTTCATCTAGATCTTTGATTTCTTTTTTAATTATGAGTAGCTAAACCCATTATCTAGGGTTGTGGCTGAACCTAGTATGAGTATTTAATGGGTCTTCAATTTTAGGGCTTAAATATTTACGGGTGGATGATATTTGGCTTGTTTTGTGCTTTAAATGATAAATCGATGGTTGCAAACACTGATTTGTGCCTTTTTGACTTAGGCTCTTCTTGAGAAAGAGAGACTAAGTCTAGGAAATTCAGGCCAACAAGGAATTAGGTTGCATTCAAGAGATTGATAGCCCCAATTAAAGGGTTAAACCTAGAGATAGTGATACCCGACTTGAGCCAATTTTGCTTGCATTATTTGAACACTCAATTGGGCTTGAGAAAGCCAATTAGGGCAAAGTCACTCAAACTACCGAGAGGTATAGAGTGAGTAGTTACGTGCAATGGCTATATCATGATGCCAACTATAAAAAATTTGCCCTAAGTTTTAGACCCTGTTAGATACTCACCTAGGAGTAAGTCACTTCCCTAGTGCCTTTCTACCAATTAAGAAAATCCTTACAAAAATATCATACTTAGCTTATTTTCCTACTTCATTAATGTTAAAGAAGAATAGTAAACAAACAAAGAATGATTGGAAGTGCAATCAAGAACATCGCACATTGCTAGATTAGATAGGAACCCAATTCCAAACCTATCTTATCTCTCTGTGGAAATCGATCCTGACCCCTCAGGTAAAAGCTGCATTGACCACTCTTGCCATTCTATAGTGGTATAGGGTTGGAGCCTATCACTTTTTGGCGCCGTTGCCGGGGAGCTAAACGGTTTTGGCTATCTATCTGACTAGTTTTGTGTCTTGTTTTACTTTCCTTCTGTTTTACTAATTTGTGTGAATTAATCGATTCAGGTACAAGATGGAAAACAATGATCCTATTGGAAATGTTCTGGGGGAGGAGGTAGATGATAATGGTGAAGATGAGGTGCCTCTAGTTCCTCAAGGTCAAAGAAGAGGCTGCCAGGCCATTGACAACATTCCAGAACCTCCCCCGCCTCATCCAAGAGTCGCTCCTCGGGTGCTTCCAAATGAGGGCTACACAAGTGAAATTGTCCCACCCCGGATCCGAGCGGGCAATTCCAAATTACAAATGTGATGTTGACTTTATTGTAGCAGCGAGGGTACTTCACAGGCGCTCCCCATCAGAATGCATATAAACATCTTAAAGGCTTTGTGGATACCTGTTGGGGAAGCAAGCAGAATAATGTGTCGGAGGATGCATTAAGATTGATATTGTTCCCTTTCTTACTTCGAGGGAAAGCTTTGGACTGGCTCGAAAGACTTCCCAACCATTCCATCACATGTTAGATGATGTGGCGGACAAGTTATATTCTAAGTTTTTCCTCCGGGGCACATGTCGATTATAGTAGAATGGATCTTGGCCTTCAAAAGGAATAAATGAATCAACTTTCTGAAATTTGGGGAAAGTATCGGACATGTAAAAAACCAGGTGCGAGTGGAAAAAAAAATGTCGAATATGACCAGCATGAACCAGAGACATTTCCTATCGTGGCATTACGACAAGACCCAATTAGTGTTATTGAAGACCAACTAGCAGGGAATTTCATGACAACACTTATGTGAGCGTTGTTAGATTTGGGATGAGATGGCCATCTTTCTCAGCTTGCAAAGTTTGAGCCTCACCACTGTGCCATCCAGGCAAGTCCGAAGTCTCACTCTCGACACAAAATCTGCAGCGACCTCATGGGCCAGGCATATACAGACTTACCACCTACAACACACTGAACCACCAATTGCGACAAAGCTCAATGTGCATCGCGAAGTTCAAGCTTCGAGAAAAGTAAATGTATGACAGGTGTCAACATTTTGGTCAACAAGAGGCGGCAAAAGTCAGCGATGACAAGGTAGTCCGATCAATATGAGCATTAATTAGGTTTCAACATATTATGGTATGATGGCAAAGTTGAAGAAGTTGCAATACGTGTGA